GTGGCTGGCAGCTCCCAGCAGGGCCCTGCACCCAGGCCCTTTGCAATAAACCCCAAATCCCAGCAGGGCCCTGCACCCAGGCCCTTTGCAATAAACCCCAAATCCCAGCAGGGCCCTTCACCCAGGCCCTTTGCAATAAACCCCAAATCCCAGCAGGGCCCTGCACCCAGGCCCTTTGCAATAAACCACAAGTTCCATGACCTGGCTGCAGAGATCTCTTGTCTCTGTCCGTCCTGACCCTGCTACCCCCATCAATCCTACAGACTGACACCTTCCTTTTCTTTGCAGCTGCTACACATCACCCTTCTGGGGTGTGTTTTTTGCCACACAAAGCTTTGATTCCCTATAATAAAGAGAGGCTTAGGCAATTCTGTTTGCCACCACCCTCTCCCTTTGGGTTTAGCCTGGCTGGGAATCTGGCAGCAGGAATCCATGGAAAACAGTGACCTCACTCCCATTCCAGAATGGAGTCAGGATGTCCAAAAAGCCTTTTCCCTTTGTTTAACAGGAACCCAGGGTATACACCTGAGCTTTTCTGCAAATGAATGGACTCCTCATCCCACTGCCACGGCCTCCCTGCCTGCTGCAAGTTTGCTCTTTGGGCAGTGATTCTGGTGGAATGCAATCATTTAAGTGTGATTTATGGCAGGGCTCTGTGCAGCTGGCTTAGTGCAAGGTGAGTGCACAGCGGTGCTTTAATAGTCCTTTTCCATTAGCAGGTATGTTTTTCAGTTGGCTTCCCTGCGATTGGAAGAGTTATAAACGTAACATATAAAACACTGTTGGTAAATGTCTGCAGGCTGAGAGAGACTTTACTGCTTGCCTCTCTGAAGGTGAGATAACTATATGCCTCTGGAAAATAACCTTCCAGGTGATAGCTGTGACTAAAAACTTGATGGGGAGAAGGAAAGAGTGTTTACTGTAGTGAGCTTAAAAGGAACATCTATTCAGAAGCAGATCTAGAGGGGAAAACCAATCTTCTCTTCTCACTGCCCTTCTTGCTTATAGGCTACCTCTCTGAATATCCACACCGATGCTAAATGGCATTAATAATTGCTAAGTTGTATTAAATTGCATATCAATCAAATTAATAATGTCTACCGTACTTGAGGCAGTTAGGTTCTTCAAAATCACTAGCATCTGCTCCTATTAAAAATGCCAGATGATTTGCAAATCCAAACTTTTGGTGAAAAAACGTTAGCTAACAAGGTGAAATTAAAATTTACATCTTACTCCAGCATAATGAATATAATTAAAAAGAGTGATAAAATCCTTTGATTAACCCTCATCCCATTTTGCATAGCACTATTATGCAAATTAAACACTGAAAACTTAGTACCAGCAAAAGATTCTAATATAAATACACTCTAATTTTAAAATTAAGAAAATATAAAAACATGCCACTGGATCTGTGACTGCACCCTTTGTCACTGCTGAGTTGAAAAGCATAACTGGGGGCATGTGCCACAGTGAGATAACTCATGTCTTGAGTTACTGAGGGATTAGAACTTGTTCCTGCTCCTTCTACCAGGCATCATATTATTCCCACAATTATTTTGGTGTATAATTTAATTAGCCTCCCTGCTATAATCAAGCTGCACTCTGTCATCAGAAACATTCAAGCCCTGCAAAATATTCATCAGAATTGGAGCGTTCTGGGTTGCTGGGTTTTGTTTTGGTGCTTTTAGCGCTCATGTGATTTTTGTAGTGGAAAAGTCCTAACAAAAGCATTTATTTTAAGTTCTGCCTGAACAAATGATGTCCAGCATGGCTCTGAGCATTTCAAATCTTTGTTCCAAGTCCTCTCAGTTGGCTCCCCAAGGGTTCCTCCTGTGGTCTCCATGAAGGCCTCAGCTGAAGACAAAAGTGTCACAGACATCTTTTCATTAAAAATCCTTTCTTAGGATTTTTCTTCTTGAAAAGCTGATAAGCTTCAAGAACAAAATGTAAACAATGGTTATCTGCTGCAGAATGCAACAGGTGCATCTGTGATTGGCCTATCTTAGATGTTTATAATTAATGGCCAATCACAGCCGAGTTAGCTTGGACTCTCTGTCCGAGCCACAAACCTTTGTTATTCATTCCTTTCTGTTCTATTCTTAGCTAGCCTTCTGAGATGAAACTTTTCCTTCTATTCTTTTTGGTATAGTTTTAATGTAATTTATATCATAAAATAACAAATCAAGCCTTCTAAACATAGAGTCAACATTCTCGTCTCTTCCCTCACCTGAAAACCCCTGTGAACACTGTCACACAAAAGCACAGCAAAAGTTCCGAGGTTTTGGGTTTCTTCTCCTTCCGTGTGGAAGGAGAAGAGAAATGTCTGCTTTGCAGGACAAGTCCTGGGTTCCTGCAGATTTCAGGTGGGTAAGTCTGCTTTTCTAGCACAGGGCTTGGACAGCTAACAAGAGTTCAAAATAGAAACTTCTTTAAATTCTCAATATCCGTGCTGCAGAGAAAACTATCGCTGCACAGGGGCACAGATGAGGTGCTACAGGGGTTGGAGTCTATCTCTCAAATCCCAGCTGCTGCTCAGAAATACTGTGTACAATGCTTCTACCAAATCTACAGCAAGTCATTGACCAAACTACTTGTCTGCTTCTCCCCCTCCCATCCAAATTAGAGTAGCTAACTTAATGAAAAATGATTTTTTTTCTTTTTGTCGCTTAGGAGGGTCTGAACATAAAGCTCTTATCACCAAGCCACAGCTGTAGGAGGAATCCTTTAATCACAGCCTTCCTCCTTGAAGAAGAATATAGATTTATGACTGGACTTTGGTTACTGAGCGAGAAAGAAATATTGCCAGCAGCCACCATACTACTTCCCATAGGCTGTAAACAGCTTTAATCTGCTTTAGCTGTCATTTTGAAGTCGAGAGATATTAGAGTACAATGTAATTATGTAGTTGTGGGCAGAAGCACAGTTTATTTTCTTTAAACCAAAGTGGAAGAGGTAAATTCGTAGCCCAAACAAACAAATCCTCCCTCCTTGCTCGGGCTGCTACCATGGGTGCAGCAGTCCCAGCCCTTGGGTGTTGCTTTGCCTCTCCTTTCCTGGGGACGCTGGGTCCCCATCTGCTAGAATTCATTTTTTTTTCTCTCCCAGACATACAAAAAGGAGAATATTTTCCTGACTAGAACAAAAAGCTACTGGAAATGTTGTTTTTATTAGGGGCACCCCAGGCACATGTTCACCTCTGAACTTCCCAGGGTGAAAATCTACTCCCAAAAGCACAGACACTCATTTTCTTACTTGCTTCAATATAACACGTTGTCTGTTGCTATAGAGAGAGTATTGGGATAGCCTGGTTAGTTATCATTTATCTTTGCTTTTCTATTTAATAGGGCCTCTCAGGAAAGAAAACTCCTTCTTAATTATTGAACACCAATAAAAGGGTGTTTAGATTTTTCCCCCATCTCCAGGAAAAAAGCCAAAAAACAAGCTGCTCCCTTTTAATTTATTTTTTGTCTGTTTTTTTTTAGGAAAGACTGCCAAGTTCAAGTCTGGAATATGCAGGCTCCATGTACAGCACTTACTGATAGAGTTTCCTGTGTTCTAAACACTCAGTCACAGTTACCTGATATTCTGGTTTGTATGCAAGGTGAAATTTCTTCAACAGAAAATAAATCCAATTCTCTATCACCATACCACCACTGTCAGCCAGCAAAATACCCATTCCCCAAAAGTTTTGCAACCTTTATTTCCATCCTGTCCTTGAGAAATCTTTACAGTCACTTTTTACCAATATTCTCAAAAGATTCACCTGCAAAGCAGAGTCCAACATGCTTAAGTCTAACCTAATTCAGCGTATCATCAGAGCACCCAGTTTTACTGGAATCTGACATTTATAAAACTGCAATAAGCATATAGATATGTTTCCTCACCTTATTTGTTAGGTGAGCATAATGAATTCACATGGACTGCTGTCATTAAAGAACAGGTGCCTCTTGGTCTGAGATTCCAGGGAAGAAAATTCTAAACCACACTTTCCTCGTTATGTGATCTAATACTGCTGGTTCTTCATGAGTTAAGACAACAAAGCACAGATAAATTGCAGTTTTCCTGGATATATATTGTTTTATGCTTCATATTGCATTTTAAAATTCATAGATTGAGGGATCTATTTGCCATCAACTACATCCTATTGCCTTTGCAAGGAGCTGCTGTGGCTGCTATGCAGGACACTGCAGCCTCTCTGGATTTTCATACCAATAATCTCCTCCTGATGGAGTTTTTCCACCCCTCAAATTCTATCAGAAACTGCTTAAAATATCTGAGCCTGATCCGTGCTGTATCTCATCAGTTCAACTGCTTTTAGGTGGTGCACAGACAAGATGTCATTAATTAATACCAGAGTGACCTAAAGAAAATATATTTGTTCATTCATTAACAAAAAGAATGGGAAAAGAAATTAAAGACAATGCGTGGTTTATGGGGCAAATTAAAAGGAGTGATGTGCTATAGCACCAGGGGCAGTAATTATCAATTCTGTCTGAAAAGGGAATAAACAGTCCTGCAGGGCTCTGTGCAGCATCATTTTGCCTCTGTATTCCAGCCAGGCATCAGTCTCCATGGAGCCCAAACACTCATCCCAGCAAATCTTTCCTGCTAAGAGCAGGACTTCTCCCAGCAGCACCACAGGTCTGGGTGCTGGGGGCCTGTCAGGAAGCAATGTTGGGCTGAACTGCTGATTTCAGAAGCTGAGGAAGGCACATCTGTGGCAGATATGAAGAAGGAAAACACAGTGGCCTGTACACTTCAAGAGCAGCTCCCTCAGTTCTTGATTCAAGTGACAACACTAAAAGGAAAGGCAATTTTAGGTCACTTCAGAGCTTTAAAAAATGAAGATGCAGAGCAAAGAGGACAGGAAAACTCCAGCACAATCTCAAAATGAAACCACTGAGCTTCAAAGATTGAGAAGTCTTCTCAGTAAGGATTAACATTTTCAATTAATAACTTTTATGATAAATTGTTGTGATAATAAATGAGAATAGAGACTGGGTGTGTAGCTAATGTTCTGGAGAGTCAGTGACTGCAAATTTCTCCTTTCTTTTCTCCATCAGCATTCACCAGTCATCCCAGACAATAAAATGAACAGCTAAACATAATCCTGTACAAAACAGCACCAAAAAAAAAGGAGGGGGAAGAAAAAGAAAAACCTAAAAAGCAGCCCTGCAATTTCTATTAAAATAGAAAGGGATGCTCATGCAAAACTGGCATGTTCTAGTGAGACATACCAAGATAAAGATAACCATCAAGAATATCTTTGTTGGATTAATGCTGTAGGTGGGGTGACACTGACACTTATTTGTAGTAAACTCTATGATTAATAAAAGTGCTTGGAGAGTGGTTCTTTTAATGGCAGACAGATATATATTGTATGACCCAAGTTCTTCCTAAATGCCATCTTATTGTCAAAATGCTGAGAGAGAAATTTGATATGATTAATGTCCTCCGTTTCTCCCTCTCACCCACACTGATCAAACACAAGAAGGATAATCCAGTTGCCTACACTGAAGCAATGAGCAATAAAAGGGGTGGTTTCTGCAAAATTCAGTCCTCTGAAGAGAAACCTTTAATTTTACTCATTTTGCATTACAAATAATTAAGGGATATGAGTCAGAGGGCTGGCAGTGATCCCCAGAGATCAGTTAAATCTGTTTCCCTGCTTGCAGGCAGAAAAATCCTTGGTGGTGTTTCCCAACACAAGTGTGTCTATCTGAGCCTTTCAAAGACCCACACTCAGGGTCTCCTGCAGCATCCCCAGTCTGCTCCAACATTCCATGGTCAAGGAAAAGCTTTCCCTGACAGCTGAGCTAAATTTTCACTTCCATTGTTAGAATTTCTTACCTCATCTGCCACCAGCATGGAAAACCTGCAGCTTCACCATTATTTTAAACTTACCCAGGGTGACTTTCTGTCAAAAGTTGTTATCCCAGTGACTGGCTGCATATCCTTGCTGATGGATCCAGTGGCTCTGTCAGCTGCTGCTGATCCAGCTGAAAATGAATGGAGAAAAGCAACAGGGAAGTTTAGAAGCAGATCCACGGCTGTGAGGTAGCAGGACATCAGCTTGAAGGCTGAAGGTCCTGATATTGCTGCCACAAAGATAAACCTCCTTGGAGCACCAGCCCAAGATCCATTCCCACTGAATGGAAACATTCCCAGCTGTTTTCCATCCCAGGTTTAGGCACTTGGTGATTCCTGTGTAAGCCCAGTGTTTTTTTCTTATCTCTGTTTATTAGAGCCATGTATCTGGAATAATGTTACACATCGATAAGAAAACCATAAATCAAATCGTCCTCAATCTCCTGCCATCCAGCATTCAGGTTCCTCCAAGCTGGTAAGACCTGCAAGTTTAATAAACCTCTCCCCCAGCACATCCTCCTGATCACAACTTAAAAAAATTAAATAGCATCAGTATTACACCCAGATAAAACAGTGAATTAGTTAATGCCTCTGTAATTGAGGACACCTGATAAACATTTTAATAAAAAAAAAAGGAAGACAGAGCTGTTGATGCATCACTCAATTAGAAATTAAGCCTCACTCCTAACTAATCAGCTGAAATATCAGAACAACTGGAAGGCAAGTATGGCAAACACAGCAGCCATGTGTGATTATGAGCCCAGGTCCCCAAGAGATTTGGTTTTATTGGTTCCTTTCTCAGACTGGCCACAATGGATCTTCAGAGAGAGGCAAAAAGCACAGTGTCTACTCTTATTGTCTTACTGCAGCTACAACAGTTGCAAGCCACAACTTGCAAAGCAAAAAGAAGGATCACCTTATTCAGGAGAGGCAAAACCAACAAATACTTGATAGCAAAGTCCTGCAGTTATCTATGGACTAAAGAAAATCAGCTTTCAGCCATTTCATGAATATCACTGTTTGCCTTCAGGGGTGATCTCTAAGGTTACAACCTTTGTGATTCTTTGACACAATATGTTATATTAAGGCCAAAAGCTACAGAAAACCTAAGAAAATTTTCTTCATGCTGACACCAGCAAGGCCCTCTGTGGTTTCCACGGGGAAGATGGAAACACCAGAGAAAACTTTGAAAGACACTACACAAATTCATTTCTAGCAAAAACCAGAAAAGCTATTAGAAGTGTTAATTGTGGTTAACTACCAGGACCTGGCTCGTGAAGAAGAAATTTGTTAAAAATTCAAAAGTACTTATATAAGGTTTGTGTTTTCTCTTCTTGAAAAGCTTTCTGATGTGGAATCAGGGAGGTAAAAGAGGGCAGATGAGGGAGCCCCTATCCAAACCAACTATTGTTATCCAAACAGAAATGTTAGGAATGCAGGTTTGCTCCTTTCCATCCAAAAACCCAACCACTGGGATCAGCAGTCACACTGTTCCTCCCTTCCCCCACAACCAATATCTATCCTTTCTTCACTTGCTTCATAAACCAGAATTATTTCTTTCTTCCCTAAGCCCTGAGAAATGGGACACCAAATTAGATAGACTACTGGCTAATCTGTTAAGGTGTTTCTTGTATTCCTCATGGAGACCAGTTCTTGGAGAGTTGAACTCATGAAGTTAAAATTCATTCCCTGTGGAGAGAACCAATATGAGGCTTCTGTGGCATTTCCCAGCCCTACAGCTGTTGTGCTGCACAGATATATCTTTAACCCATTCATATTAGTGAGCAGCAGCTCCAGGATTTTGTTCAGTCATTAAACAGAATCTAGAGCAGGTTACAAGAAGAAAGAAAAATAACACTTCTTTCTACACAGGTAAAAATCCTACAGGATGTTTTCTACTAATAGGAATTTTAAAACTAAGTTCAAGTATATAATTTGCTGTTCACAGGGGAGCAATGCTACCTCTATCCACTTCTTCATGTCCCTTCCTCTACCTCAGAGACTGCAAATCAAACACTTCTTGAATATAACAAAATTGTTAAAGTACAGCAGTTTTATTTTAACACTAGAAAAAAAAATTGTGATTAGAGCATTATGTGCTAATATAACATTCAACAATTAAAATTACTTGCATCCAAATTTTATTGCCAGTTAATGGCATCTAAAATAATATTGATAACAAATGACGCAGAATATCTTCCCAGAAGTCTAATTCTGATTCATAAAATTGTTTCCTGTACTGGCTTGAGTAATGATACAATATATAATGGGAATAATACATCCCAGTTGTTGACAATTTTCTGCAAGTTCTACATTAGAGTTTTCCATAAACTTACACAGAAAGCTCAAGAAAGTAAACTCCATGTGAAATCAAAGTAGGTCTAAAAGGGTGCCTGAAACCAGCTGGTTTTCCCTGTAGCTGTAACAACACAACAGGGAACACCAAAACTGACCCCAAACTCAACAGGGTTTTCACATTTACCAGGGTTTTCAATGAACTCCACTCCATGCACACACCAGTGTCCCCATTGCAGCCACCACAGAGCTGCAAGGAGTGCTGCCAACCCTGATGGGCAGAGTGAGGAGCAACCAAAAGAAACTCTGGCTCTCAAAAAGAAAGGAAGAAGTCAAGAAAACCCCCGCTCATTGTTTATTAGCCAGGTTAAACAGGTTTTCTGTGGTGTTTGTGAAGTCCCCACGACGAGGTGAGAGATGAGAATCTGACTCCATGTTCTCAGAAGGCTGATTTATTATTTTATGATATTATATTATATAAAAGAATACTATACTGAAACTATACTAAAGAAAGAGAAAGGATACAGACAGAAGGCTTAACAAGAATTAATAATAAAAACTTGTGACTGCTTCCGGAGTCCCAACACAGCTCGACGTGATTGGTCATTAAGTAAAAACTATTCACAAGAAACCAATCAAATATGCACCTATTGGTAAACATTCCAGTCACATTCCAAAGCAGCCAAGCACTGGAGAAGCAGATCACATAATTATTATTTACATTTTTCTCTGAAGCTTCTCAACTTCCCAGGAGCAGAAATCCTGGAGAAGAGGTTTTTTCAGAAATTATGAGTGACAGTTTTCCCTTAGCTCCAAGAGTCTTCAGAAGTGAGGATTCAGCTGTTTACATGTGCTAGAAGGTGAGCATTCAGTGATGACTCCTGAAAGCAGCAGGTGTTGGTGAAACACAAACACCAAACTTGCTCTTTTATTGCTCACCAAACTTTGCAGTTGCAGAAGTTCATGGAGTACAGCACATGCACTCCTCCAGTGGGGGATTTTTTTTTAGCTGCTCTTCATTCTCTCCTCACAGAACTCCTTAGGAGGAGTGCAGGAGAGGCTGTAACTCCTTTTCAGAGCCAAGTCATTGTGAGCCTGCTGTGCATATCAAATGCTCTGTGGTTGCCCTCTCCTGCTGCACCAATTCTCCCTGGATGCTGCGCACAGGGCTCTGTGCAGTCTCCTTGGCCACATTTGGCAGAAATTAGGGTCATCAATAAAACAAGTCATAGCCACAGTGCAGACTCCCTTGATTCACAGCAGGAGGGAATGCTACATCTTAAAGCAAGTGCTGTCATTTCAAATGTCACCCAGTATGTCACCAAATGTCACCTTCCTGGATTTTTTCCTGTAATGACAGTTTAAAGCTATATGTGGTGTTTGCTGAACTCCCTGGTAGATCATCTATTATGTTCCACTTCAAAATCAGATGTTGGACCTCCCTGACATCTGGCAAGCAATTGCCCTGTAGTTACAGCAGTACCAAATGAAAAGAAACCCCAAACACCTCCTCACACACACACCACACACACACATGCTCACTGAGCTTTTACCTTTGAAAAACACCTTATAAATGTCTTCTAATCCACACATGCACTTAAATATCACAGCAGCACCTTCACCTTTCACTGCACATCTTCTATTGATTTGTCTATTTGTGATCTTGAGGGGTCACTTCTCTGAGAAGGTGAGCATTTCTCCATAACCAGAGTATACAAACTACCTTTTTTTACTTTAAATGAAAATTCCAAGTAGACCTACTAAACACCCAGGGACAGATGGACATCCAAATTCTATCTTTTTAGGCTACAGAGGTGTTTGTAAACAGATACACATGGAAATGAGCATAAAGTGCAAACAGCAGAATTAGTACAGGAAAGTTTGTCCCACTAGGCCACTATTTTTCATCAGTTTGCCATCATGGTAAGTTCTATTATGTGTTTTTTAAGTTTTAGTGCTCTTTCCAGTTTACACTGGAACATTCTGAACATCAGTCACAGAGCATCAGTAACACCCGGATTACAAGGAAAAAAAATAAGAGTGGTTCATGTACTTTTCACAGGAACTCCAGCAGAATTAAAGGCTAGATGAAACTCTCAGATCCATCAAGTGTCACACCCTAATACCATCCAACTTTTCTGCAGGTTTTTAGCTAACACCTGTGCTCTGATAATCCTTATTTTTAGCAATCTGTGCTTCAAAAAGTGATCTAATCTCTTACCCACCTAAGCAAATCTTAAACTGATGCAGGGACATCTTCAATTGCATTAGTTATTTTTAGGATAGTTTATAAAATACCTGCAGAAGAAGTGGGCATTTTTATTAATGACACACTCTGGCTTTATTTCCTAATTAGCTCACTGTCTATTAATGCTTGCTTTTTTATTTCACTTCAACTTCTCCTCTTCTCTTTACTTTTAAATTTCTTAACACTTGGTGCTTCTGCAGAGCAGCCTGTGCTGTGTTTCTGGCCCTGGCCAGTGCAGGGCTCCTGTCTCCCTGCAGTACCCTCAGTGATCAGTGGATCAGTGCAGCCCATCTGTCTGGCTGCTGACACTGAGCCCCTTGGAGCCTCTGTTTTCCTGTTCTATTTTTGTATCATTCAGCAACATGCCTTTTCCTCTGGGGTCACCCTTAAAGGTCCATGTGTCATGTTTTTCATTTCTGCCTTGTCAGGAAAATCTTGCCACTGCATCTATCAAAGTAATCATCAGGCCTTGATGTAAGAGTGTGGTTCCCCTCACATTTTTCATTACCAGATAATTTATTAATATCCTCCTGAGCAAGACTAGATTCAGCTTGATAAAACCGCTATCAGCAGTGACACAGTAACACAGCTCTGAGTGTTCAGCTGGCAAATGCTGAGAGAAGAGGTGTCCTTCAACCTCTCCCACCCCTTAATTCCTCAGCAAGCTAAAAGATTTTGGATCCTGTGGCTCTGGAGGCTTTTGGCTTTGTGCCACTTCAGCAGGGATGACCTGGGTCAGCCTCCTGAGACCAGCCCTCCCAGCACATCTGGCTCTGCCTGCCTGGTGCTCTCACTGGCATGGAATACACACCCATTAAATGAAATAAAAGTAAGCTAAGGATAGACACAGCAGCAAAACCTTTAGTGTTTGGAGTGTTGCTGGATATCAAAAAACTGCAGGCAGTCATTTTACATCTCAGGCTGAGCCACTGACACTGCTCTGGCTATTTCCTACCCAGGCTCTGCTCTGTTCCAGGTGCTGCATCCTGCCCATGCTCCCTCCCTGCCCCAGCACACTGCTGCTGTGCCAGCCATTCCTCCTGTACATTCCATTTCCTGGGAAAAGCATCCTCTCCTGTGCCAGCCATTCCTCCTGCACATTGTACTTCCTGGGAAAAGCATCCTGTCCTGTAGCAGCCATTCTTGGTGTACATTCTGTTTGCTGGGAACAGCATCCTCTCCTGTATCAGCCATTCCTCCTCTACCAGCCATTCCTTCTGTACATTGTATTTGCTGGGAAAAGCATCCTCCCCTCTACCAGCCATTCCTCCTGCACATCACATTTCCAGGAAACAGCCTCCTCTCATGTATTATCCATTCCTCCTGTACATTACATTTTCTGGGAAAAGCCTTCCCTCCTGTACCAGCCATTCCTCCTGTACATTATATTTCCTGGGAAAGGTGTCCCCTCCTGTACCATCTATTTCTCCTATACATTCTATTTCCAGGGAACGGCCTCCTCTCCTGTACCAGCCATCCCTCCTGTACATTCCATTTCCTTGAAAAGCATCCTTTCCTGTACCAGCCATTCCTCCTGTGCATTCCATTTCCTGGGAACAGCATCCTCTCCTGTACCAACCATTTCTCCTATAACAGCCATTCCTCCTGTACATTTTGTTTGCTGGGAAAAGTGTTCCCTCCTGTAGCAGCCATTCCTCCTGTGCCAGCCATTCCTGCTGTACATTCTATTTGCTGGGAAAATCATCCTGAGGCCTCAGAGGCAGCTCCCTGCTCCATTTCAGCCCGAAATGGGAGCACAGGAGGCCCTCCACAGAAGCGGCTGGCTAATGGCTCTCCGGGTGGACATTAGGGCAGAGATGCATTTGTGACATGAGTGGCAGCTGTGCAGACACCAGTTTATGTGATTCAGCACAGCTATTTCATTAATTGTGTTCCACGGTTCATTTCCTCAGATTACACTCTAAATAAATAAATAAATAAGAGTACAAAGCTGCTGTGTTCTCTGAACCGTCTACCCAACAAAAAGAAAGGGAAAAAAGGTTCTTATTTTAATTGGCTTCCTACATATTTCCCTGTCTTAGGTGCTTTTTAAAGTGTAAAAAAAAAATAAAGTAGATTGCAGTTATATTCCACTGTCTAATTATCTCTTCAGATTTCCACAGAGACTTGGTAACTTAGAGAGAGCCCTGCTATGAGGAAGGATGCTCTAACCAAAGTGAAAATGCAGAGAATTACCTACAAACGTGATGTATCTCTATCTGCTGCTTTAAATGTTTCTATTTCGTGACTTAAATTTAAAACAGAAAAACTGTGCGTGAAGTCTTTGGAAATCAGCAGCTTTGCTTAAAAACAGATCCTTTATGTATCTTCATAACTATATTCATAATGAAAAAGTAATTACAAGAAACAATGAAAAATGCAAATGCAGAAATAGAGAAAAATTGCTTTGATTCAAATCAGGAATGCAAGGGCTCTAAAAAAGACAGGCAGCCTGTGTTTGAGCAGGGAATGACAAGTGACTTGCTCAGCACCACAAAAACCAACCAGAGCAGCCAGCATGGTCATGAATTTATAAGATTAAATGTCATGGGAGACTGTCTTAAAAAAAATATTGTTTCATAAACTAGCAGTTTTCACATCAGTCATTTACAAAAATATCATCAGTAAGGAGCTTTTGATTGAAATATTGAAATTAGTGTGGAACCCTGACCCAGATCCTGTGGCTGTTGCCAGAGCCTGTGTCACTCATGGTCAAAAACCTGAGCTGAATCAGATAGAGCAACCTTCTAAAGATCACAATTTCTATAGATTCTTTTTTTAAAAAAAAAAACATTTCCTTAGGAAGCTTTTCAGGTTTCCAGAGGAAAAGCTGCACCCAGGAACAGCCTTCAGCCTTGCTGTAGAGCAACCATGTGGGAATGTAGGTTTAAATCTTCATTCAAATGTAATCAGAACACGTTCTTGCTGAAAGCCTTGTAAAGAGAACAACTCTTCATGAGAAAATGCACATCCCCTCAGAAAACAGCTACTTTTGACAGGGAAAATACCCAGTGCTTCTCTTTGCTTGCTTGTACAAAATATGCAAATACAGAAAGCTCGATGTTTGCAAAAAAAGAAATTGAGAGTGAACATATTTAGAAAAATATGGGGCAGGGAGTCCAGGCAAATGCTGAGTTATAATCACCAGCCTACTGTAAACACCCTCAGTGTGAGAAAGGCTCTCTCCCCCTCTGTGCTTTAGTGCTGCTGCTAAGCATGGAGCTTTTTTGTGGTTTCATTTTAGTAATCAGGATCTCTCGTACTTCCCGGACAGATGGCCATTCACACTTCAGTGCTCACTTAAACACATACGTCAACGATAACAGAACATTGCAGCTCAGAGCAGGCCAATGCAATCTTCCAAATCCAAGGCTATCTGTCATTTTTGTTAGTTATATAAAACCAGAGTCAAAAGAAAGTAGGACTGTTGCTATTTGGAAGGATAGAAAGAAAATGGAAAATTCCACCTGGCTTGCTGTCAACATGAAACTCCAGCAAGGCTATTTAAAATGATTTGAGAAGGTTTGAATGTGTAGCCTCTGCTGATCCATTGGCACTCACTCCTGGGGCCTGCTAAGAAGTGGGAGCAGCAAATCTCAGATTAGGGAATGAATGTTGGGCCTGGCAGGCTGCTCAGAGCCCCCACCAGTGCATCCAGTCTGGATTTCCTCATCAAATCCATCCCACGGCATCGTGTAATGCTCCTGGGTTTGTCTCCTGAGGTTCTAGATGTGCACCAGCACCTCACAGCTGCACTGTCCAGCATAAGAGAGGCAAACTGGGATGGAGGGGAAGGATGTTCTCAGCTTGGACACTGATTCCACATCTGCTCAGAGTGGGCGTGGTGTTCACAGGGATAAAGAGACAAAATCATTTCCTGCTGCTGCTAAGGCAGCATCTTGGACAAGAAGGAAAGAATTTAAATTTAATAAAATTTATTAACACTCTCCTTAGCTTCAGGGTGGTCTCTGTGTGAGAAATGGAAATCTGAAACAAGGGGAGGGAAAAACCTATTTATGACCTTTCTGTGCCCTGTCAGTCCCAGGAAGATCCTGTATTCTGCTGAGGACCTCTCCTCAACTGAGCTTGTCAGCAACTGACCTTTTTTTTTTTTTTTTGCTAAAAATGAACTTTGCAGGCAATCTTTTTGGGAACTTTGCCAAACCTAAACCAACCTATGAGCCATCTAAAGTTCAATTAATTAGTAATTAGGAGGACAGAATTAACACAGGGAAGCATTTAGCAGAGTGTGTATGTAATCAGCCAATAATTATCAACATAGAAACAGAACTATGACACAGTATGAGTTTCCAGCACATCCACCTAAGTGTTTAGAGATAATCACATAGCAGTGGTTAAATATTTTAGTTTGCCATCCAGGGGAATGTTTTGTAAGTTTGCGTTTTCAGTTTGCACCTAAGCTACTCACCATAAAGCTAAAGAGGCACTAGAAACTTCCATAAATTCACAATGCTGTTTATTAGCTGGGTCTAAAATCTCTCTTTTTCAGAGGACTGGCAATAATGGAGGCATTTAATGTAACACACTTTTGTCATGTGTGTTTGCCAAAGGAGATTTCTCATCAATAACCAAAGCACAGCAGTGGATCAACAGCCCAGCCAGAGCCACCAAACAAATGAGTCTTAGAGGTGAAGAACAAAAGTCATGAAAATCAGCTTGACCCTGGATGGTTCTATCATTCTGAAAGCAAAAACTGTGCAAACTGAAGAATTTAGGGAACATTTTACAAGGGAATTAATTTATGCTGAAGTGGTTTAGACAGTCAGGAAAAGCAGTGCCACCCCTCTGTGATAGCAAGCACTGGTGGTACTGGAGGCTGCCAGTGCACTGCAAGAACACAGTTAAAATCCTTACATATGGATCATAAAAGATCAAAGAGTTATCAAAGCCTTCAGTATTTTCTGCCATTCCCGGTACAAAAGATAAAAAATCTTTGAGATAACACAAGCACAACTCCTTCCCAAGGCATAAAACACAGCCCTGAGTAGCTGGATTTAACCTTAGCCATGTGGTTAGCACTGGAAAAGTCCCCTTAAACAAACTTGTCTTGTCAAACACATTGTGAAATAAAAGAAGGTGACCCAGAAGATCCTTCAAGGCACAACAGAGGAGTGACTTTACAGATCAGCAGCTTTGACAAAGTAGAGGAGCTGACCCAGGATAGGATTAGCTGGGGAGGCAAGCAGTGTGTTGTGAGCACCTGATTGAGCTGGAACAAGACAGAAGATGAGAATAAAACACCCTTCAGCTCCTCACAGAAACCACTGCTAAACTTTGAGGGGGACAAGATAAATTTGAAGGAAGACAATAATTAGCTTTTCTCCTGGAGTGTAATTCGTAATTCATTCTGACTGAAGAAAAAGGAGTGTTTGCTTTGTGGAGGAGGCTGAAGGTACCTGAAAATCTCTGTGCCTCACCTTTCTGCTTTTTCTGATTTAAGCTTTCTTTTGTAGCTGGTGGGAGACTTTAAAGTTGACTGAATGCAGATAAGAGGGCAGGATGGTCAGGATGCATGTTCTTTTTACAATTTGTCTGTGTTTTACAATTCTCTGTGGTGATGAGATCTGCCACAGCTGGTTGACAGTCCTTCACAGGAGTGCCAGCAAAGCAGAAATTGCTTCTGGGTGAACAATATTAATTTTAAACAGCATTTATTTATAGAAAGCATTAATCTAAAATTAATTTTGTCATAACTATGTGGAAATAACATCATTCTTCCTTAAATAACTGCTGGATCACTGTGCCTCCTACTGTAGGTTTTATGTATTTTTCTTATGCAATCTCTGCAAAAAATTGGTTAATAGTCTCCAAAGGCTTGGGTATAATGGACCCCAAGTACCATAGCTCTTCTTTGAATAGATCAAACTGTTTACCTGCTCTAGAACAGATATTATTTGCATAAAGATTTTCTGAATGCTTAATTTGAATTTCGGAATTTGAGGTCTGTTTGCCTGCTTTTCACTTACATGTGATTTGGCACTCCTAAGATGGTTTATGAAAGCTTTGCATTTCCTTCCTGCAAACTGCTGTTACCTGTAAATATGTATTGTGGCATCCAGATGAACAAAACCAGATTTAAAAAAAAAAAAAAAGTATTACGACAGTACTTAAGAATGCTGTTTCAATATTCCTCCTTTAAGCAGATTATTAAATTAGTAAGCATGGTCCAATGCCTGTTGGCCTACTCTGAATTTTTCAAAAAGTACATTTTCAGCCAAAGAGAAAGCTCTAACTGCTTGGTAACACAAATCTAAAGATGAATAATCAGGATCTTGCTCTCCATACAATTACTCAGTTCACGATGTGCCATCTCAGCACATTCCTCCATCAGCTGCAGCAATTTTTTTAAGTCTAATTTTTTTTTTTTTTGTGTACTACTTGATGACATAATTGCTACTAATGCCTCCTAATTGAGTGCACATCCAGGTGCCTGTCAGTGACAGAGGATCAGTAGGACATGTGGCTTTGCACCCCACACTCACACAGCCCCTGCTGCTCCCCATGTCCCATTTCAAGCCTTCCTTCAGCTTTAGCACTGCTTTGCCTAAAGCAGGCAGCAGCAACAGGAAGAATTTTGCTTGGGCTCTCAAGTTATTCTCTGCTCAGTAATATTAATGACTGTATAAATAACAAAATAACTTCTTATGGCTCTGCAAGATGTAATTCTCTTTTAATACCTGACCTTCTTATGCTTTAATAAACTTATTGAAATTCATTTTTTAATAATTAAACATTGCAACTATAAAAAGGGAGGGAACGCTTTGGATATTGCCTGCGGTTTAAATATCATAAACAAGAATTTTGCCTTTCAAATGTCAATTGTCAAACATTTGCTGAACATATGCCTTCCATTTAAAGATGAGGCTACCTGCCTGAGCTGCTTTTAAAATATCAAGCTTTAGATATCAACAGTGCAGCCCATTTATTAATCTTTACTTATTTTGATAATAGGATGTAGAAGACACCCACGTGAAATCTAACTCTGTATAGGAAAGAAAGGACAGTCCCTTTGGAGCTGGACATGTTCTGTATTGACTATTGATTTTATATCTGAATTGTGTTAGTGTCCAGGAGATTTAACCCTTAAAAACAACAGAATTGCCCCAAAGTCCTACCATCAAACGAGTTACAACCTAAAATCTTCACCCTGCATGCTCCTCAAATATTTCTCATGGCTAAACATAGAAACTGCACGTTTCTAAGAACATTTCTGACCAAATGGATTGTTCTCCCTGTTTGCTCCAAGCACACATCTCACCCCAGCAAGCTGAATGGCAGCTTGGTGCCAGGGCTGTGAATTAACAGATGAACACAATGAGAGCAGCAGGAGTGGAAGTCACTCACTGGGGGAAGACAGACCCATTTCTCTCTGGAGAAAGGAGTTTGTCTCACACAGGAGCTCTGAAGCCACAAGGAAGAAAGACTCCAAGGGCTAATGAATCTTTTTTGGGGGGGGAAAAATAAATTAAGTAATAAGGTTGTCCACGCACAAGCTAAATTAGCTTTGAAAAATCTGCAAGCTCTATTTCTTCAGGTAAATCAGAACTCCCAAGTAAACTAATAACAAATGCCAGTATAACATTTTCACATAATAACTTTCATTGTAAATGGAGCAGGAAAATAGGACTGGTTTTAATAAGATAGAGACTGATTAGAAAAAAAAAATTACCTCAAATTTCCAGACCACTTGTCTAAATTTTATGCAAATAGCTGTAGAAACTCCAAGCTTTTTCTTGCTTATGTTTTCTGAAATTATGTTATGCTTACTTTTATTAGAGTGCTTGAATAACATCTTTTGCTACCACAAACTCTAAGACCACAGTCTGGAAAACTGTGAAATGCTATTTCAGATGGAGGAGTCTCCAAAATCCAATCTACATCCATCTTAGCTCCCTAAAACAGATCATTATTTGATTATCAGACACACATGCCAAGTCATAAATTAATATTAAAGTCAGTGATGGGACCTGAACCTTGATCTGGTGGCTTCCCAGGTGAGTGCTCTGCACTTGAGGTAATAGAGTAATTAGACAGCTTTTCCTCTGAAGGATAATTGCTAATACATGTTAGCTGTTGGAGAGAAGCCCTCCTGAGGAGCAGATATGGGTTTCCTTTTTCATTAAAAAAGAAACTTCACTTTTTCAGTGTTTAACCTTCAGCATATTAAAATGTTTAGTGCCTAAGTTAGATAGAAGTGTTCCTCTGAGTAACAAACAATTAAACAGAGCAGAGAAGTGGGGAAAGTAGGACTATGTTTCTGAGACAAACCCACTGTGACAATTAACTCAGAGCTGCCCTGGCAGCCATTCTTTAACCCACAGGGTTGCAAACCAGCACACAACCTGTGTGGGGGTTGATAAAGGCAATAAATCCTGTGATGCACAAGGAGCTCTAACAGCCTCACCCACAAATGAAGTTTCTCAGAGATGATCTCTGACGTGTGCCACACCCCATGTGTACAAACCTCCCTGCTCACAAAGTGAAACATTTCTGTTTGATAATTTTTTTGGACTCTGCCCTTAGTGTTGGAGAGTCATAAACCTGCTTAAATAAATGCATATGAATCTATTAAATAGATCAGACTCACACATGTCATTTGAGCTAAACCTGTACTGATCTTAATAAATTAAGATTACATTGACCCACATGAAGACAGAAATATCACATATGCTGAGTCTTTAGACTGTAGATACTCACAATTTCTGAGAGATGAAAGAGAACTGCACATCTTGTGAATACAAATGTAATACCATGTGAGGAGCTCAGTTTGGTTGAGTGTGTATTGAAGTGTGAGTGAGTTTTCCTATTGACATGAATTAAACCAGGTTTGGAGTCTAAATCATTTAGGTCTGATCATGTCTTCCCTTATATCTCCTGTGATCATTAGCATTTTAAAGACTCAATGTCCAGTGGGTATGAAATGCTGCTAATCTGGTGAGTCTCAGAATACAAATAACAATATTTCAATTTCTTTTTAGGTGTTTTTATTTCCAGAAAACATTTTTACTTTGAGAAGCACAACATAAGGTACATCTTAATATATTACAGGTGAGTGCCTCATACTGCTTGATGGATTCTGTGTGTTTCACTTATCCATGGGTTTAATTGATGGATTCCATGGGTTTATTTTTAACTCTGCATGAGGGTTACAAGGATCCCTGCACCTGGATTTCAGTTCTAATGTGAGATTTGAGCAGCACAGAATCCTTTCGCTAATTAAAATTTTGGTTTTGTTTGTTTGTTGTTTGCTTGCTTTCTTTTACCTTCTCTCAGAAATTTCCTTAGTCTTCTCTTTCTTTCTTTCTATATCTTTCCAGGCTGCACTGGCATTCCTGGAACTCAGCAATTCCTGTCAATCACTAAGAGTTAAGGCCACTTCCAGAAAATTTGAACTATCAGCATGGCAGCATTAGTGCTGCAGGGACAAGTGGCATGTCAGCAGTAGTGGATGGAGCCATTTACAAATTGCATTAAAAAAGAAGAGAGGGTAAGATTACTGACCCCTGGAAACAGAGTGAAAACCCATTACAGCATTTTTGGTTATCATCCCAGACTGCACAGTAATTTTTGACACTATACAATAATAAAGCAGCTCTTTGTTTGCAGGCTCCTCTTGCCCAGGGCACTGCTCTGCAGGCAGCACCAGCAGCGTGCTGGTCATTGCCTTCTGCAGGGCATGGGAAGTCAAGGTCCTGTCCACAAAGGCTTATTGAGGGCTGCTCTGGGCTTTTTCCACAGTTGGAAAAGCTCAAAAACCTCCACTTGTGAGTTCTATTTAAACTTCTGTTGGAATGACCATAGGTGCCTGACACTCAGACTCTCAAAACAAAGGAGTGGTTTCCTTCTTTGCATAAATAAATACCCACACAGAGAGAAACCTGACAACACAACATGATTCACTTTTTCTATTTATGATCTTCTTCCATGGATCTGCTACCATTCATCCCCAGAGACAATCCCTGGATATCCATTCAGCCCCTTGGAGAGCAGCACAAGTGTGAGCTAAGGCCATGCCATTGCACTCCTCCAGCTGGGAATTAGAGAGACAAAACCACTAAAACCCATAACTCCAAAATTATTTATACACCTGTCTTCATAGAACAGATTTCAAAACAATACACTCACAACAAAACAGAAAATGGGACCAAACTTTGCAGAACCCTGTCCTGTTCCCAGATGGAGCAGTCAGTGCATGCCAAAGGGTCTGGGCAGGAGCTGCAGCCCCTGAGCTGGCACACACAGGCAGCACACGTGCAAGCACTCAAACCTCACCACAGCCAGGGCACTCAGGGGTTTATGGATTAAAAGCTGCAGAGATGATGATTTCCATTACAACATAAATCAAACAAAGGTGAGAACTCTTGCTCTGCCACCTCATTTCCAATGTCCCTCAGGAAGGACAATTAAAGGAGGCCTTGTGTGTGCATATTCATCAGTCCTATTGCTGAGGCTGCCAGCATGAATAACTGTGCAATCCACTCATGGTGCTGGCTGACAACTGTCCTCTGAGAGAGCCTGACCAAGAGCACTGTGACCTATAAAACCTCATTTTACAGATGGGGGATTTTGGGTTCATTCTGGGCCTTTAGTTTAAGGCAGTTTAGTTCCAAAGCTCAGCTTTGGGGCTGGGCTGGCTGTGGTGCTGCAGCTGGGTGGGAAGGCTCTCAGGGATAGGAGCTGTTCCTGGGCAGGATGGTGCTATTGAACGTGCTGTGTGAATGTTTGGGAGTGGGAAACTCTTTCACAAATTCTGCATCTTCATCTGTTGGCAGGTTACAATTCTGTAATTTATTCATCCCTGTTTTATCTGCCAAACTCTCTCCAATTTTTAGTCTATTAATTGAGCACCAACAGTGTACATTATGAGTATCTGCTATCCCATTGTTTCTGGTTCTCCTCTGGGTGAAGAGAGTTCTTGGCAGCCAGTTTCCACTGTGAGCATTCAGCTTTCCAAGTTCCACATTAACTTTCTGATGAACATTCTCTAATAGTCACTAAAAATTTACAGTTTCAGCAGCATTACTGCCATTAAATTTACTTGTCTGAATATTCACAGGAGTCAGCCCAAACAATATAAATCCAATATGTTGCTGAATATGAGGTTAAAATGTGTATTAATCTGATAATTTTTTGTTATCAGAATATGATGGATAACTCTTCAGTCTGTCCTACTGCTGATGTTGAGGTACTGATAATATTTTAGTTGTGCAGACACTGTTTTCAAGGATTTGCAGTCACTATCCTTAATGCTCCAATTGGCATGCACACCATGGTTTTATTACAGCTCATTTATTGACCTGGATTTGAAGAACCTATTGGTTAACATATTAAAACTGACAATAACAATACTGACATATTTCTTCTTAAACCTGAAATTTATCATACTGCTAAAATTAAATTTTTTCGAGCATCTAGGATCCAGAAATTAGTTTACAGAGCATAATTTGGTTGGGTTTGCCATGATTTGCTTCACCCATGTGCATTTTCTGCTGCTATTACTAAGCATTCCATTTGGCTGACATTTTAATCTACCTGGCACAGAAAGAGACTCCTCTCTGATTTTATTTCAGAATTGCTGAAAACAGTACATTTAGCTGAACTCAATATTTATAAGAGGAGCAAACTGTGTTATGATGCTGGCCTAAGAGTTTGCTTTTAAATTTATCTGCCTTTTAAATTCCACAAGATGTGCTGGTAGAGAATGGCCACAGTGACCCTTCCATGGGGAAAGAGGCAGCTCTGGCTGGGTGTGAGAGAGGGGCTGAGGGTGTCAGCAGGACAGGATGAAACAGAACAGACCCTGCAGGAAGGGCAGGGCTCTGCTCTGATGTGTATTTGTTCCATTAAACTGAAATCAGACCCAACAGACCCAGGAGTGAGGACACCAGACATCCTCTAGCTTCTCTTGGTGGGGCTGTTGAACAGAGAGCTCTCGTGTGGGGATTATAGGTGGGACTTTTTCAAACTCTTATCTGAATGATTATGCACTAGAAATAAGCCTTTGGGGTACCCAGTTCCCAGCCAGTTTTCTCAGCTTTGAAAAGGGAAAAAAACCCCCAAACCAGTGTTTTGTACTCACTGTGACTTTCTGAATATTATTATTCCTCTAGGGTTGTTCTGGTTTTACATGATTTCACATTTCCCTAAATTTTCTTTGCTGCCTTTAAATATTACTGTAAATCCGTTCACCCATTTGCAGCTTGGCAAATCAGCTTTTTGTTTAACCCTTTGTGACAAACCTATTTTAAAGACGCTCTCCTTCCTTCCTCTTGCTTTCTAAGTTATCAAACAAGACCCTGGGGATCACTGGGGATACAAGGGAATATTCCACACGAGGAGCCTAATGCCCTGATCACATTCAGGGTTGAGTAATTGCATTTCATGCATAGTGCATGAACACGTGGCAGAGTCTCCTCTTTGCACTGTCAGCTAGACACACAGCACCATGGATCAAACTGTTATTTTTCACATTGCTGGGAATGCTTTGTGGAGAGAAATATATATCTGCCAGCCAAGCATTTTCCAAATGAAGACAGAGCATAAAACCATCCTGCAAGAAGCACAGCCTGGCAGTGGTGACATTTTGCAGTTTAACTGCGTGTGCCAGCGCACTGAGTCCAGGTGAGGAGCGAGGCTGTCACAGGCATGCAGGCAAAGCTGGCAGCACCAGCACCCTGATTCTGCTGGGAAAATCCAGGGCAGGCCCCAGCAGTGCCAGGAGGAATTCCTGCTGGCAAACAGAGCAGCTCCCCCTTTCCAGATTGTGCCAGGAGCAGTGAGAACCCAGAGCAGCAGCAGCACCTGCCCTCAGTCTGTCTGTCTGTCCTGCTCCTCTCCCCACTCCTCCCAGCATTCCTCATCCTCTCCTCAAGAAAACAACACCCATTTCTATCAGGAGCAGCGCACGTGAGCCACTATCAAGTTATTTTTTTCATTTTTTCACAGAAAAAAGCAGATAATACCATCACTGATGTGACTGAAAAAATGAGTAAAAAAAGGTGTGTGTTTTTTTAAAACAAAATCTGCTGCTAAAAGGGAAAGGGAATAAGGGACCTTGCTACAATGAATGTTTTACTTTATACATCAAATGCTTTAAACCACTTACCCTTTTTTCCTGCAACTTTAAAGGGAGGTTAGAAGTATTTCTAGAGGTGATTGCTTGCCATGGAAGTAAGTGGGTCAAAGACTCCATACGTGAAAAACCTGGATCTTATTATTTAACTCCTAGCACTGGCAAAAGAGAAATTTCTAAACTCATTTATTTTGTACATATTAAAGTAATAGTCCTCATAAAACCAATTTTTTCCCCTAAGAATTAAGAATTAAGGGCATTTAGGTACCTAGGAGGAACACAGCATGGTATTCACATGCCTATGATACAAAATTTTAAATTTTTGCAATACTTAAAGAGATAGAAAAGCAATACCCATTTAAACCAGTGAGAAATGCCAAAGGATGCTCACATCAGGAAAACAAGAATTGGTGTAAATCTAGCTCTCAGAGGATAACAGGTCTGTTTTCAGGTCTGCAAACATTGGCTGTCATAGGAGCAAGTTCACTTCAGAAACTAAAACATTTCTAGCTGCTCACACAGAATCAGAAGTCAGTTGATGGCTGAATTGAGACAAGGTTTCTCTGTTTCTTGCCATTCCACACTGAAGCCTTTGAACTTCTTTTTCATTTATGGGAACATTTAGAGATGCCTGATTACAGGAAGTGCATAAAATCCCTATATCAGAGCATCAATGCACCCCAGCATAGAATTTGTTTTTCCCCCCAAACAACTTCTCAGAGCAGCAGAGCTGTCCTTGCTTACCTACTCTTTCCTCATATGGGTATTTTCTGTTGTATTCTCTTTTGATTTCCTAGCAATTTCTAATGTCCTACTTAGTGTTTTGGCAGCAAATCAGCACTAACCTGATGTCTTAAGAGAACAATTTACAATGACTTTAAAATGTCTTTTGTGAGTGGCAATACTTAATTTGGAGCCCATAATGACATAAGAAAAGTTAGAATTACTTTCCTTTCTATAAACAATACTTTGAATTAATTGCCCAATAACTCAATAGTAAGTGATCCTTCTGTAACTTCTCCATGTCTGCTATAGATTAAACTGTCCTACATAAATTTACACCAAGCAAACTTTCTCTGAGAAACTCTCTTTAAATACACAGCACAAAGTTTAGCACAGAGCCCTGAGAGACCTCTTTAATAACCTCCTTACAGCATGAAAATTTATCATTTATGTCCATCCTTTGTTTCTCTCTTTTAACCAGTTGTTAGTTCACAGAATGAACTTGCCCTTCTTAGAAACACCTCTTTTGACAAAACCTTTGGAAATTCAGGATTGCTCTGTTGTTCAGATTCAGTTTACCCATGGAGCACCTTTCTGCTGGCACCTGTGGATCTGCTCAGTCACCTGTGAGTGGCCATGGCAGGTCCCAAGGGCTGTCAATAGAGCTGCCAGGTGTGATGCTGCAGCAGCAC